ACCAATATCTTTGCTAAGAAAACCCCAAATAGGACTATGAAGAGAAATAAGCATTAACAACATATTAATTTAACATTAAGGATCATACTATTAAAAAATTAGAAGAGATGCAGAGCATATAACTCTCACATCTACAGGTAGGAGATATATTCTTAGCCAAGCAAAAGGTAGAGGCAATTACAAAGGACAAAATAAATAACTCTGATTACATGAAAATGAAAGGCTTCTGCACAAGTAAAATTAATACATCTAGTACAACAAGGGAAGTGGTCAGAATGTTTTTATCAGATTTTTCTGATAAAGGTTTGGGGATTTGGTATCCAAGCTAAATAATCAAGATATTATTGCATATCAATCAATAAACAATTTCAATCAATAAACATTTATTAAGCACCTACTATGTGGTAGGCCATATGCTAAGCACTGGGGATATAAAAAAGGGAAAAGATAGTTCCTGCTCTCAAGGAGCTTGCAATCTACCAGGAGGACAACATGCAAACAAATATATACAAATCAAACTATATACAGAATAAATAGGAAATTATTAAACAAGGTAAAACACTGCAATTAAGAGGGGTAAGGGAAGACTTCCTATACAGACAGAATTTTAGTTGGAAATTAAAGGAATCCAGGGAGGGCAGTAGTTGGAGTGGAGGTGGGAGAGTGTTCCAGGCATAGAGGACAGCCTGAGAAAATGCCTAGAGCTGTGATATAGAGTATTTTGTTTGTGAAACAGCCAAAAAGCTAGTGTCACCGGAAAGAAGAGTAAATGTTGGGAAGTAAGGTATAAGAATACTGAAAAGGTAGAAGGGTTATTCAGGACTTTGAATGACAGAGCATTTTGCATTAGATCCTGGAGGTAATAGGAAGTCACTGGAATTTATTGAGTTGGGGGGTGGTGGCATGATGAGACCTACATTTTAGGAAAATCACTTTAGTTGCTGAATGGGGGGTTGGAGTCAAGAGATAGAAAGAAAGAAAGAGAGATTGATGGATTGATCAATAGATAGATAGATAGCCAAAAGTCATTCCCTGGTAGATAAGTGGACAAAAGATATAAAAAGTTTTCAAAAGAAGAATTGCAAACTATTAATAATCATATGAAAGAATGCCCCATATCACTAATAATGAGAAATGCATATCAAAGCAGCCCTGGGGTTTTTATATCATGCCCTGCAAATTGGCAAAGATGATGAAAGATGGAAGTCAGTGTTGGAGAGAGTTTGGGAAGATAGTCATACTGCTACATTGTTGGTGGAGCTGTGAATTAATACAAACATTTTGGAAAGCAATTTAGAATTATAAAAATAGGGGGTAGCTAGGTGGCGCAGTGGATAGAGGTCTGGCCTTGGAGTCAGGAGGACATGCATTGAAATCTGGCCTCAAACGCTTGACACTTACTAGCTGTGTGACCCTGAGCAAGTCACTTAACCCTGATTGTCTCACCAAAAAAAAAAGAATTATAAAAATGAAGTGACTAAATGTTTATACTCTTTGACCCAGAGATTTCATCACTAAATTTATATTACCAATGAGGCCATTGATATACACCAAAATATTTATGGTAACATTTTTTTTTTGTGATAGCAAAGAATTGGAAACAAAGTAGATGTCCAGTCATCTTGGGGAAAGGTGAAATAAATTGTGGTACCAGCATGTAATAGAACATGACTGTGCTATAAGATATGATGAATGTAATATACACAGAGAAGCATGGAAAATCTACATGAACAGATGCAGAATGAAGGGGAGTCAAGAAAATAAGATATTGACTGAAATAATATAATTATTTTATTATATTATGTATTTATTATATTATATATAAATAATGACACACAAATCAAACATGAATGTTGCAAAATTATAAAGAACAAAAATCACTCAACAGAAAAGGAAAATAAGAAATTCTGGAGGGCATGTGGAAAAATAAGTACACTAAAGCACTGTTGGAGTTGTGAGCTGATCCAACCATTCTGGAGAACAATTTGGAACTATGCCAAAAGGGCCATAAAATTATGCATACCCTTTGACCCAGCAATGCTGCTACTAGACATATATCCCAAAGAAATCAAAGGAAAAGGAAAAGGACCCACATGTACAAAAATATTTATAGCAGCTCTTTTTGTGGTGGCAAAAATTGGATATTGAAGAGATGCCCATTAATTGGGGAATGACTGAACAAGTTATGGCATGTGATTGTGATGGAATATTTTTGTGCTGTGAGAAATTATGAGGTGGGTGGTTACATAAAAACCTGGGAAAACTCATATAAACTGATGCAAAGTAAAGTAAGCAGAACCAGGAGAACATCGTATGTAACAACAGCAAATTGTAATGATAATTAAATGTGAAAGACAATGTAGCATCCTCTTGAGTGAGGAGATGGATGGGCTTGTCTGTATTGCCTAGAGAATCATCCTAGTGCAGATTCTATTCTCTTAGTACACAGCAAAGCAGCTACAAAGCCTTTATTTCCTACTTTTGCTTTTCCCTTTGAGACTAGAGAGGGCAGCAGCGAGTAATAAACGTCTCTGAAAGGTTTCATCTCACTCATACAGATAATGCTGAAGAGCAATAGCTGAAATTGCAGAAGAATTCAGTTCTCCTCCAATCAGCAGGCTACTTAACCTAATCTTCAGGCAGTGCACAAAGCTATAGTTTCGTCTTTCACTTTACAGCTTCTCACAAACAATAACTGAAACCTTCTGGGCAGCTGAATGTTCGTATCTTCTTGGCTGCTGTCCTGTTGGGATTTTCTTAATTACTCTACTGCTGTGCCATTTGCCTAGAGATTTTGCTTCTCTCCTCCTCCTCATCTCAATCATTTGGTCATGTTTCCCCACACTCCTTCTCCTGCCTCTAATGAAGAAGTAAACTTTTTTGCCAAGACTTGTCCTTCTGCATGCATTCTAGATCCCATTGTTTCCCATCTTCTCCAGCAGATTGCTCCCACTATTATCCCCACTTTATCTCTGTTCTTTAATCTCTCCTATTGGCTGGCTGCTTCCCTGATGCCTCTATGTCTTCCTATCCTTTAAAAATGTTTACTTGATCTAGTTATCCCCATTAGCTATTGTCCCATCTCTTCTTCTCTCCCCCACCGTTCTCTTTCTTGGTTAAACTCCTTGAGAAAACCATCTACATTAGTTGCCTCTAATTCCTCTGCTCTCACTCACTTCAAAACCTTCTGTAATCTTGCTACCAAACCTCAACATTCAACTGCAAATAAGCTCTCCAAAGTTACCAATCATCTTTGTTGCCCTTTCCATAGCCTTTGATAGACACAATCATCTCCTCCTGCATCTTCTCTACTTTCTGTTTTCATGACACTGCACTTTCCTGGCTCTTCTCAGAGAAGAAGATGACCACAGACAGCAGGATGAACACAATTCATGCTCTGGCTTTCCAGAAGATATGGACTTTGGGTGAATTGTTTGAATAGTGCAGAGCTGAAGTGTAAGAGAAGTGTCTGTTCATCAGTCCCACAAAGAATTTCACATTTCAGTGGGTTTCAGCATCAGATATTCAGGAGAGTATCATAGGACTCACAAGTAACAATTTCATGTCTTAGTCAATGCATAGTCATGAATCTTTTTTTAAAAATCTTTTAAGCATTTTTTTTTTGTGGTGGAGGAAATAAATAGCTGTCCTATACCTGATTTATCTTGTACATTGAATACTTTTCTAGAAAGGAACCTGTTTTTGCCTTTTGTGGAGACTGTAGGTGTGGGCCAAACCTAAGATTTATGTAAATGATTGTCCCCAGAATTCTACCAAGGGTTTAGGCTGTAATGAGCTAGAGACAAGAAAAAGTCAGACTCTTCCCTGTTTTGGCTAGGTTTCCCCAGGACTGAACCCAGTTCTCATGAATGCAGAACTAGGGCTTCTTAGCGGGAGAAAATATTCTAGCCTCTTTGTCCATCAGTTCTCTTGCACATAAAAATACAAAGTAGATACAAAGGAATAACCAGAAGGAGGACAATAGCAGCTAGTGATTGGGGTAGGGGGAATCAAGATAGGCTTCCTAGAGGAAGTGACACTTGAACTGAGCTTTGAAGGAAGCTAGACATTCTATGAGGGGAGAGGTAACGAGGGAGCATTACAAGCATAGCAGAGAAGCTATTTAGTAGCACAGACATGTTTAGTTGAATGTCATGTATGGAGAATAGCAAGCAGGTCAGTTTGATTGGTCTGCAGAATATAGGAAGGAGAGTACTGGGAAATTATCATGGAATAGTAGGCTGGAGCCAGGTCATGAAGTGTTTCAGACTCGAGGGGAATTTGTATTTTATCCTGTAGGCAAAAGAGAGCTACTGGAGTTTCTTTTTGAGTAGGGGAGTGATGTGGTTAGAACTGTATTTTAAGAATAGTGCCTTGGCAGCTGTGTGGAAGATAGATGATGTGATGATGTGGAAGATGGATTAGAGAAGAGAGAGACTAGATACAGGGAGACCAATTAGGAGACTATTTACAATATATTGTTCAGATGAGATGTGATGAGGGTAGGTATTCAAAACCTGAACTAGGATTTTGGAATTGTGAGTAGAGAGAAGAAGGTAAGTGCAAGAGATTAAGGAGGTTGAATTGACAAGACTTGGCAACATTTCACTAACTATGCTATTTCTAATGATGATTAGTTCAAGAGATTTAATTTGGTTGGGAAGGTGGGAGGAGATATGGAATAGCAACTGTATTGGGTAGGAGGGACAAATAAAAGGTTACCCATCACCCACCCAATATTGTGGAAACCTAAGCATCTTTGGAGGTGCAGGGAAGAGCAGGGATAGGGGAGAAAGACTGAAGATTTGAGAGGGAGAAGGGAAAATAGAAGTGAAGTTCAAGGAGATTTAAGATATTCAGGACCTTCATATTATAAAGCTGCTGACTAACAAGAAAAAAATAACTTTTGATGACCAACACTTCAGTGTAAGATTAAGAGGATGGTCCTTCTCTACAAGTGCAACTTGAATCACTGGGAGGGTAGTTTATACAGTTTAAAGGTGGGACACAGGTGTACTCTCTGAAGTCTCCTCTCCTCTACTTAAGGATCCCACATCAAAGGACCACAAAACTCTGTGATTGGCATTGTGAAGAGAGTGAAGAGAGAGCAGAGAGAGTTGGGGAGGGTGGGGTTTTAGTTGGAACATCAATCATGGTGTAACTGGGATACACAGTGGTGCATCCCAGGGATATCATGCTACAAAAACCATGACAGAGAGGTGAGGCTGGGCAGGGGTGGTTTAACTGGATTCGAAGAATCTCCACTCACACAAGGATTGTGCACATTACACAGGGTTCTCATCAGTACAGGCAACCTATTAGGTTATCAGTGAATACCAATCAGACACTGAGTTCTTTTCATTTGTCCTTGATGATTCTCTGAGTATTTATTGCTTCCTTTCCATTTGTATAGCCTCCATCTTAGCAGAGGCCTTTCTTTACTCAACTATCTCATACTCCTTCCCCCTTCACTTCATCTGGTACAAGCCAGCTGATTAAGCTTTCTCATCCCACCATTCCCCAGACCAGAAACTTTTAACGATTCCCTTTTGCTCTGAAGACTAAACTAAAACTCCTTAGCTTGCTGTTAAACACCATTTCTATAATCTGTCCACAGTGTAATTTACAGTCATATTGTTGGCAAATGAAGATGGTGAAGGGCCTTAAGATATGCCGTCAGAGGACTGGTTGAAAGAACTGGGGAGTTTATCTTGGGCAAGAATGGTTTTGTTGCACATGGTGGCTCTGTTTGAGTATTTTAAGGGCTGTTACATAATAATAATGATAGTAATAGATAACATTTATATAGCACTTTGAGATTTGCAAGCACTTTACAAATACGATCTCATTTGATCCTTACCACAAACCTGGCAGGTAAGTGCTATTATTATCTGATTTTTACGGATGAGGAAACTGAAGTCAGTTAAGTGACTTGCACAGAGTAACACAACTAGTAAATGTCTGAATCCAGATTTGAACTCAGTTCATTCTGACTCTAAGTTTGGGCCATCTAGAATAGTTTTCTGCATAGAAGAGGGATTAGGCTTTTTCTGCTTTACCACAGGAGAAAAAGATTGAAGTTGTGAAGAGGCTTACATCTAGACTTGATGTAAGGAAAAGTTCCCTAACTATTAGGACTACTTAAAAGTGCCATGGGATGCCATGGAATATGGTCTTTAAGCAAAGCCTGGATGATCACTGGATAGATAGGTTGTAGAGGAAATTCTTATTTAGGTATGCATTGAACTCAATTCCTTCCAAGGTCTCTCCAAAGGTTGACATGCTATGATTCATTGGTGAAGTATTCCTATCACATACTCTATGACAAAGCCAAATTGGTGGACATGCTAGCTACCCTTGAGTAGTAGAGCTCAATGACCCCTGCTTGAAGATTCTTATCCTGCCATTTGTTGAGTTGATATAAACAATAAAGACACCTGCTATTCTTCAAAGGCATATACCACAGTTATGATATGGAATCTCCTAAGACTTGTGAAATTTGACAAGTAATCTACATGCTTGGACATTTTTGTGGGGACAACTGATACAAATGGGAGCAACCCAGAAAGTATTGCTAATAGCAATAGCTAGCTAGTATTTCTATAGTTCTTTAGAAGATAAAGACTATTTGGGAAGTGAACAGATGGTTAAAAGAACAGTATCTAAGAATGGGATCTGGAATTGTGTATTATGAGAAAATATAGATTGGTGTATTTTTTTATATATGTATTTGTGTGTGTAACCTGAGTTCCAAAATCCACTGGCTTGGAACTCTCTTCTCATTGTAAAAGAGTTGGGGAGTAGTTGAGAGCAGGAGAGAGGAGAGATTTGCTCTCTTTTTATTCCAGAATTTCTTCTTTAAGGGGCATCTAGGTGGCACAATGGATAGAGCACTGACCCCAAAGTCAGGAGGACCTGAGTTCAAATCCAGACTCAGACCAAACACTTGACACTTACTCGTTATGTGACCCTGGGCAAGTCACTTAACCCCAGTTGCCAAAAAAACCCCCCAAAAAACAGAATTTCTTCAAATCTCTTCAGTTTCTCTAGATTCTTCAGGTTTCACAGTTGCTTGAGGACTTCTGGCTTCCAACTCCATGCAAGAAGATGGAAGAGGTCAATCCCACTTTGGTTTGCTAAAGGAAAAAAAAAAACCTCTGGAAAGAAGTAGACATGAATGGAGCTTGCAATCTCCATGATGTTCCTATCTCCAGTTTGCTTCATGAGAGTCTTCAGTTAATTCCCCTTGGGTAAGATCTAGGCTTCTCTTTCTTGTTGAGCTGAGTTACCTCATTCCCGATGGGAGACCTCTTTTACTCTATATCATGTGGTATATATTTTCTTCTGTATGCCTTTTCTAATTTCTGATTTTGCCATGGACTTGGATAAATGGGTTTCTTGGCTACTTCCAGTGTGAGTTCGTAATAGAACTGGCATTTGGTGGGAGGGGCAGTCAGGCCTTAGGCATAAAGATTGGCACCTTCCTTCCCCTTTCCTCCCCATTAATGAAAGTGATTAGAACTTAGCTTGAACCTGATAACCACATCCCCAAGACTAACAATATTTCAAGGAGTAGATGATGGTAATTCTAGCCTGCAACCTCCTCTTTCTTAAGAGAACAGAGTGGCCAACCTCCAACTTCCTTTCCTGGCAGGAAATAAAGTCTCCCTTGGGAAAGGGTCTTGGGGGAAGAAGAGTCTAAAGATATCTATTCTGCTTCTTTTTGAGTCACACCATACCCCCATGTTACCTGTAGTGGACAGCCTTACTACACGTGTGAATGTAGTGAGTATATTCGGTGGTTACTAGCCCAGAGTCAGGTCAGTTACATCTCCCCATGAGCCTTCTAGGGGTACCCTTAAGGGGTTGGAGTTCTTTTTCTAGTGCCATTGGCCTAAGCCCCCATTCTGGTGTGTTACTCCCACTGATAGTTGTCAGTGACTAACACCCAAGTTCCATTTGTTCAATTAACATTAGTTAGCTTTTACAAAGAGATATTTACTTTGCAGATATTGCAAGGACAGGAACACAGATATTTCTTTCTGACACCTGTGGAGTACACACTACACTAATCTAATAGCCTTTTCTCAATCATTATTTTTCTTGACCTTTTTGTAGCTTTTGACACTGTCAATGACCCATTTTTCCTTGATATTCTGTTCCCCGTAGGTTTTTTTGGGACATTAGTTTTTCCTGATTCTCCTGCTCCCTGTGGTCATGCCTGCTAATCATAAATATCCCCAGAGGATGCCTTTCCCTGTATATTATTTCTGTTGGTGATCTTGTCAGTCCCTGTGGATTTAATTATCATCTTTACATTGATTCTCAAATCGACTTAACCAGACCTAGCCACTCGGCTTACCTCTAGTCTTGCGTCTCCAACTACCTCTTAGACTTCTTGAACTGAATGTCTCATAGACATCTTCAACTCAACATGCTCAAAACTGAACTTATTATTTCCTCCCCAAACTGTCTCCTCTTGCTATCTATCCTATTACTGTGGGCGGTCCCACCAGGTTCTCAACCCAAGTGCCATCCTCAAAACCTTACACTCTCTTACCCCTCCCCCACACCTAATCAGATGTCAAGTCCTTCATAACATCTCTCACATATGCCCCTTTTCTTCCTCTGACACTATCACTTTGATGGTGGTATTATACTGTGAGCTCCTCCATTATATTGTGAACTCCTCAAGGGTAGGGACTGTCTTTTGTCTTTTTTTGTATCCCCAGTATTTAGCACTGTGCCTGGCACATAGGAGACACTTAACGAATGTTTGTTGGCTGATTATGGGCAGGACCTCACTATGTCATGATTACAGTATTGCAATAGCCAGCTGGTTGTTCTTTCTGCCTCAAGTATTCCCCCATACCAGTGTGTCCTCCATTCAACTGTCAAATTGATCTTCCTCAAATCCAGATCTGACCAACCTTTTCCTTCTCCTCTATTCAATCAACTCTAAAGGCTACCTATTGCCCACAGGTTTAAATATAAAATCTCTGTTTGGCCTTTACACTGTGGCTTCTTCCTTTCAAGTATTCTTACACTTTAGATCTCACTACCCACTCTGTGATATAGTGACTTCCTTGCTGTTCCTTGCACTAGACACTCCCCAATTCCTGACTGAGCACAATTACTCCTCTCTGCTATAGATCTATGACCCAGAACTGTCTATGAGCAATGAGAGGTGTAGGGGCATTCAGGGAGGACTAGTACTCTGGTGTGAGGGCTGCCAAGCCCTTTCAGGCCTGCTTTCCCACCTTTGGTGTCTACCTGATCCACCTAATTCTCACCTGTGACTCCAAGAAGCTCTAGTATGTGCAGTGAGCACCCCCTGGTTAACTGTTTTGGCAGACAGGCTAAACTAGGGTGAGGGTAGCTGAGGGGTCTCAAACCTTTTGGTGAGTTGGGGGTATGTTTATCCCAAGCATGTGAAGATTTCCTCTGGTGCAATGGGCAGATGAGGGCAATTTGTTCCAATGGTCATGAAGGCACCTGAAGTAGGCACTGTGGAGCACTTACAGCTTGGTTAGACATTGAAGATGCCAAGGTCATCCACTGCATCTCAAGCCCTCACCAGCCATCTTAACTCTGTCCTACCACTGCACTGTGATGACTCTGGAAGAGAGAATGAGGCTAACGACTGTGCAACTCTTCCTTACTTAAATCCAATTTATGCATGAATCAAAAGATGTCACCCATACACTCAAAATACACTAAAAAAATCTTCCATGTAAGGAATTGATTGAAATGTATAAGAGTAAGAGTAATTTCCTGAATAATAAATGATCAAGGGACACAGACAATTTTCAAAGGAGTCAAAGGATGAAATCCAAGCTATCAATAGCCATATTTTAAAAAAAATACTTCAAATCACTGATTAGATAAATCAATAATTACAGAAATGTAAATTAAAGAAATTCTGAGTTTCTACCACACACATCAGATTGGCAAAGATGACCAAAATATGAAAATGACAAATATTAGAGGGACTTTAGAAAAACAGGCATGCTAATGAACTGTTGGTGAAGCTATGAATTAATTAGTCCAGAGATTATAGAAAGCAAATTAGAACTATGTCCAAAAAGTTACTAAGTTGTGCATATTCTTTGACTCACAATAGTATGCCTGTATTTTAAAAATAACAAAGAAAGAAGAAAAAGACCCATATGTACAAAAATATTTGTAGCAGCTCTTTTTTCAATAGGGGCACAGAACTGGAAACTAAAGGAGTGGCCATCAATTGGAGAATGCTGAAAAGAATGATGGTGTATGAATGTGATGGAATACTATTGTGCTGCAAGAAATGATGAAAGGAATGGTTTCAGAGGATGTAGGGAAGACATATGAGCTGAGGCAGAGAAATGAGCAGAACCAAGAGTCAACAAGTCAAGGCAACAAGCAATTATTATTTATTTATATAAACACTTACTGTGTGTCAGAAACTGTACAAAGTGCTAAGAATATAAACTCAAGCAAAAAGACATTCCCTCCCCTTAAGAAGCTTATATTCTAATGGGAGAAAATAACATAGGCAACACATAAAAGGAAGCTAAGAAGTGTGTGTGTGTGTGTGTGTGTGTGTGTGTGTGTGTGTATGTATGTGTGTGTATGTGCTCATGAAGAGGGAAGGGATGGAATGAACTTGTAGGGTGAAGAAGCACAGGAAGATAGTGGAGATATTTGTGAAAGTTAGGAGTAGAGCCCAGAAAGAAATGAAGAATGGCTGCTCTGGACACTTTCCTTAAAATGGAAGTTTTGGGAGGACCTGCCTGATTAGAGGAAGGGACTCCAAGGGAAGAAGTAAGAAGGTGAAAAAGGTGAGAAGGCCATGAGTAAAGTGAACTTTCAGGGTGAGGAGGCCAAAGGGGAGAACAACTTATACAATAGCAACAACATTGTAAAGACAAACATCTTTAAAAGACTTAAGAATTCCAATCAAAGAAGACTGATGATAAAGTATGCCACTCACCTTTGGACAGAGAATTGATAGATTCAGAGAGACATTTTCAATTTTTTTTTTTTGGTAAATGGCCAATGTAGGGATTTGTTTCACTTGACTATGCATATTTGTTACAGAGGTTTGTTTTTATATTATTTTTTTCAATGGGAGGGAGGCAAGGTGGGAGAGAAAGAAAAGTAGATTTTTGTTAATTGAAAAAAATTAATTAAAAAAAGAACTTGATTGAGAAATCCCATGTTGACCAATTCTCTTGTCTTTGTCAATATTTACCTTTCCCCCTAAACCATGTTTCACTGAACACTTGTGAAGAACATAACTTATGACAAGAAATATCACTGTCACTGAGGTCCCACCACAACATAATCTCTTCGAGAAATAGACCCTACCAGGCATATCAGAGAAGAAACAAAAATGTCTGGACCTTCAGTCTGATTCAACTTCTTAGAAGGATTGATCAGCTTGAAACATATCAGGAGAATTAATCAGCTCAAAAATTCCCAGACTTCCTGAGAGAATTGCTTACCTCAAATGACACCAATGAGAACCACCAATTTAAATATCTGTCAAGATTCCAGAAAAATTGCTCAATGAGCTAAGTAGACATAGCCCAGTCCTCTTCGGGGAACCACAGTTGGATCTTGAGGGACCCCAAATCCTGCTCCTGGCTATTACTTGGTCTGCAACCAGGCACTAGGATGCATCCCTCCGTATTTCCCTTTCTATTGCTCATTCTTCGTTTGTGATTCCATGTAAGTAGGCAAATAGGTAGTACAGTGGATAGAGTACAGGGCCTGGAGTCAGGAAGACCTGAGTTCAAATCTTGCCTTGAACACTTACTAGCTGTGCAACCCTAGGTAAGTAATCTAACCTCTTCTGTCTCAGTTACTTTCACTGTAAAATGGGGATAATAATAGACCTGTCTCCTAAAGTTGTCCTGAGAATGAAATGAGATAATATTTTTTAAGTGCTTTGCAAACTTCAAAATTTTATTTAATAATTTGTTATTAATCATTATTACTTTATCATGTGCCAGAGATGGAACATTCTATTTCTCACTCATGGGCCGGTAGGGGGCAAAGAATAGGAACTTATGTGGACACTCCAGGAATCAAGTGGAGAGCTGTTCTGATTTATAGCAAAGACCAACCCTTTCAAAATGTCTGGCTTGCCTGGAGTCTTTTCAAGAGGGTGATCTTAGAAGACCTTTTACGACTTGATTAGACTTGCTTTTGGTCAGAATCCACTAGGAGATCCCCCATTTTTCTAGGGCCTCATAAGCTTCTTGAGAACTCAGAAGCCTGACCCTAAACGTCCTTGTCACTGATCTTCCCCTCCCCCCACCCCACTTCCTGCTACCTCCAGATTCCCTCCCCCACCTTCCACCCAAGGATAAAGAGTTTAGGTTCCTTCCTGTGTCACAGTGAGATAGGTGGGGAGACTTTGGGCCAGGAACAGAAGTGACTGTGATTCCACGTAAGTTTCCATGTTCCCAGCTTCACGTGTACGGGGGGTGGCGGGAGCAGAGCAAAGGAATCACATTCAGTTGGACCCTTTGTGGGCAAGTATACTAGGCTGGTGACTTTGGGATCCTAGATGTGCCCCTTGGTGGCAGGGTCATGGGAGGAACCTGGGACTGGGCTGATAGCTCCAGTCATCTTGTGCTGAATTAGTTAAATGGACCAGTTTCTGTGCTCAGCCCTCTCCCCTAATACCTCCTAAGAATTGTCCAACTCTGCAAACACAATGGTACTGGAATTTCTTACCTAAGGATCTTTCCTAAGGATTTCTAAAACACTAGGAGACCAAGGAAACCTCCTTACCCCTATCCCTACCCCTACCCCTCAAACCCAGGAGCAACTTTTACCTCTGGGATTTCCTAAATCTTGCCACTGATCATGCTTAACTTTTCCTGAAGTGCTAGGAGCTATGTAAATGGCTAAAGAGAAATGAGTCCTAAACTAGGGGTCTAGAATTGGGGGGGGGCAGTATCCGGGAAAGAATGGGGTTTAAGAAGCTTGAGGAATCAAGACCCCCACCCATGGGAGGCAGAATGGTTGGATTGCCCCCACTTACTCTGATCCCATCTTCCTTGTGCAGGTGATAAGTTCTACCTGAAGGAATTAGGAGGAGGCCCCTACCCACACAGACTGACCCTGAGCCTCAAGTGCCAAACCTCTGGCTTCCAATTCAAGACAAGTGTATTAGGCTGGTACCTTTGGGACCCTGGTCATGCCCCTCGGTGGCTGTCCAGCATTGACCATACATCTGCAGAAACCAACGAAGGCCGCATCATCTCCTCTAGGGAGGACAACAGCAGCCAGGTTTTTCTTCAGATTAAGGGCCTGGGCCTCAGGGACTCTGGCCATTATCACTGTGCCAGAAGAGTGGGGGATAAAGGTGACACAGACAAGCTGGTCTTTGGTCCTGGGACGGCTGTGACTGTAGAACCTGGTGAGTGCCTCCTCTGTCCCAGCCCTAAGGAAATAGGTCATGTTAAATCTGGGCCTGGCCCTGAGTCATATAGTCAGTCAGTGCTAGTGCCCAGACCAGAACCAGGATCCCCCATTTCTCAGACCTCTCTTTCCACTACATGTGTTGTGTGACCATGCAGAGCTAATATTCTCACTCTGAGCAGTAATTCTGGAGATGGACTGTGGTAGGTCATTGAAGGGATTTGAGTCAAACTGTAGCAATGTCCATGGACTTAGGATATCCATGTGTGAAATCCTAAGACCTCAGCCTCCGTAACAGTCAGGAATAGGGAGACTTGGGAAGAAGAGAAGGAGCTGTGGTTTGGGGGCAGCACAGGCACATGAACTAGGGACATAAAAGTTGGACTCAGGCAAGGGCTGGGTTCTAGTTGTCACAGTTATTTGGTCTCACACACAAGGGGCCAGGCCAGGACTTAGAGGGGCCAGGAAGTGGGTGAGGTTTGCTTTTCACAGTTATTTGGTGACATGTATGCCTTCCCACAACTAAGTCTGTGTTGCTGACTGGCGGGTACCTTGTAGGGGCCAGTTGAATGACAAGAAGCTATGGTTTGATTGCAGGACCTCGGACCCCTCTGACACCCAGCGTGTTCCTGGTGAGGAATCAGGATGCTGTGGCCTGCTTGGTCAGTGACTTCTACCCCAAGGAACTCCATGTGTCCCTGGCCTCCCCTAGGGCCTCAGTCTCAGCCCAGGCCCTCACTGTGGCTTCCACAGCCCATGGCACCTACAGTGCCATCCAGATTGGCAGGGTTGGTGAGAATGACTCAGTAACCTGCTCAGTTCAGCACCTTGGGAAAGAGACCCTTGTGTCCTACCAGCCAGGTATGAGCAGACTCTGCCTGGGCATGAGGGGTGGTACCAAGAAGGAGCATCTTGTGCTTTGGAAGTGTTTTCTGGATCACTAAGGGATAGAAACAGGGAGTAGGGAGGAATACTGTGAGGAGGGACTTCCTGGCTTGTGGTCCTGGGCTGGGCCAAGGAGGTCTTTGGGTAGAAAGTTTCATTCCAGAGCAGTGTTTCTTTATTGAGAGAGGGGAATCCATAAGTTAGAGATGGGGTTCCTAGGATAGATGATGTGGGAAGCCTGGCTAATGAAGATGTCCTAGCCTGTAGTAGGAAGTCCTGGGCTCACTGGACCCCAAGACCATGGCTGATGATATCATTCTGCCTTCAGACACTGTGAAGCTGGAACCATCCTGCCCTGATCAGGAGTTTGCAGGTGGGTTAAAATTAAAAGGCAAAAGGGTAGAAATAATGAAGCTAATCCTGAACAACTTGGTCAGAAGTGAGACTATTCAACCCGACCTGATAGACTCTATGTCTCCCATTGTGATAATGTGATACCTCAGGGTTCCTCATGGCCATGGCCCAGGACTTAGAACATTGTACAAACAACCTAGATTCTGAGTGTGTGCAGCAGGGCTCAGTGTGAATAATGGTTCAAGGGCCCAGAACTTCAGACTGTGTGAAGGTCCAAAATTCAGGGAACATGCCAGCCCAGGGCTCAGGGTGGGGAGTAGCACATTCCTATTCTCATTGGCTTTCTCTGCTGCTGTGGCTTCACTTATTTCTCTCTATACCTAGCCTGGACCAAATGATCCCTTGATGTTTCCCTGGCTCCTGCCCTAGAATCCTTTGGTTCCTTGGCCCTCCCCCATTCCTGGACTATAAGTCTTCATCATAGGTGATCCCCACCTTTTCCCTTCTCTCCTTCTAGTCCTGGAATGCTAAACTTCAGTGAAGAAAACCAGCAAATGTAGGTTGCCTGTGCCCATGTTTCTTTCTGCCTCCTCCAGGACCATGTTCCATGGGTCATCCTCCCCTTTCACATATCTTCAAGATCTCCTTCAATATTGGTTCCTTCCTTCTACCTACAAACAAGCTTGAATCTTCCCCACCCTCTTTATCTTTGTCATCCTTCCAGCTTCCATCCCATCTCTCCCCTCCTCTTAACGGATAACATTCTTTTATTGTAGATTGAATAATTTTTATCCCCATGCCACACTATTTTTCTGTTCCTCTTTCTTTCTAACATTTGTCCTTATCCCTTTATTCCCACTGTTATCATGTTAGTACAGGTCCTCATTACCACCCTCCAAGACTACTGTGATATTCACATACGATTTCCTACCTCTATCCTCTCTTCTACTTCAATACAATCACCCAAATAGTCTTTTCTACCCCTAGTCTGTCACTTCTTCACTCAAAAATCTTCAGTGGCTATTTTCTCCAAGATAATATTCAAACTCCTTTTTTCATCTGGTGTTTAAAGCCCTCCATCTGATGCCAACTTTATCTCATTTATCTTCTCCGTGTACACTATGCTCTAGCTAAACTGGTCCACCCATGGCCCACTAGATGCACCATATGCCTGTCCGCTTCTTTGCATTTTCTCAAGTTGTTCCCTATGGGACTAATGACCCCTCAGTGTCTTCCCTTTATATTGCTGAATTCTTACTTACCCTTTTAAGTCCTACCAAATGCCACTTGGCGTAACTCTTGCTTGATCCCCTTGTTTGGTAATGACCTTCTCCCTGTGAACTCAAGTAACTATAAGATAAATTATTAAAGCAGAATCCAAGCAGAGGAATAAGTTACTCCTCAGTGTGCTGAGCCTGAGACTACTGTTTATGAAGACTGTGATCATTAATGTCCTGTTTGTGTCTTAGATTCCCTTCGAGATGAGAAACTCTTTAAAGGGAGAGACTATAGCTAAGCTAAACATTAAATCTCCCCTGCTGCCTAGTGTAGGTCTTAAATTAAAGTTTAGGAAATTTTAGTTTAATGAATGAATGACCAATTTGAGTGTCTATGATAGCTAAGGATTGAGAAAGTATAACAACCCAAATTTTAGATTGTATGACAGTCCAGAGCTCAGGGTACATAGCGTTTCTAATATTCCAGGACAAAAGGTGTACGATAACCTGTTGGTAAGAGTAGATGTCATTCCAAGGCTGAGTGTGGAAGATAATGTTGTACTTAGGACATGATTTCCATAGTTCTGATTTGGTAAAAACTCAGGATTTAGTATGTTTGATAACCTAGGACTAAAGGTATATAAGAATATAATACTAGGGCAAAGTGTGTCTGAGATCTCACTGTGTGATTTTACATTTTCTAAAGGCAGCCAACAATGAAGGTTTGCTTTACTTAGTCTATAAGAGCTTATCACTGACTCTTCATTAGCTAGGATGATTAATGAGGAAGCAGGTAGGAATAATGTTTCTGTTACTTTTTGTAGACCCAGAGAATGAATGAATTCATGAAAAAAAGCTTTTGTCTTACTATGGGCAAAGCACTGGGACTACAAATAGAAAAATGGAGGGAGTCCCTGATCTCAAGGAATTCACATTCTAATAGGATGAGACAACACATATGGGAGGTTTCAGCAGCAAATCAGATGGCTAGGCACTTTGGTACTCAAAAAGCAGTGGCAGAACAGATGCTAATGCATCTCTAATGTTGTTTCCCCTGATAAACCCATATCTGTTTCTGGTGCTGGACCATTTGGCAGCAGTGAAGGCTCTGGTGTCAAGAACTTTCTTTTCTGAGACTTCAGTAGCTGTGGCTGCTAAGGAACCAAGGGCTGCAGCACACTGGGGTCAGTTGGTCAGTAGTTGGAGGTAGTGGTTGAGGTAGTGGCAGTGGTCCAAATTAGCTGGCATGTGCCACCTCCTGTCTCTCCTGCAGGATGCCCCACTGCTTCAGCTTGGCTGGCTTGCCTGCCCTGTAGGTGTGATGGCTGGCCCCTTCTCCATACATGTTGTTTTCCTAAAGGATGGCTGCAGTGGGTAGGCTAGAAGCAGGGCCAGTGGTCTGGGAGGTGCTACCATTCCTGGAGCCCTTAGGCTTATCTGCTATAGCTGGCACCTGGTCAGTAGGTGATGTGAAAGATGGTAGGCCCCATCTCCATAGGGATTAGTCCCTTAAATGATGGTATTAGGGGCAGGCTGAAAGCAAGGTTAATGGTCTGAGGTGGGGTGGCACTGCTATTCCTACGGCTCTTGGGCTTGACTATTTCCAAAGGGGTTGAAGTAGAAGTGGTGGTCAATATGGGGGTGGTATTTTGGCTTGATGTCCCTGTCCCTGACCTTGATCCTTACCTTTGTCTCTTAAAGCAGAATCCAAGCAGAGGAATAAGTTGCTCCTCAGTGTGCTGAGCCTGAGACTACTATTTTTGAAGATTGTGCTCATTAATGTCCTGTTCACAATGATAGCTTTGATCTTCTGAGGTGATTGTTCAATCTTACCCTTTCCTCTCCTACAGCTGGACCTCTCTTTTCATCCCTTTAATCTTTCTCTCCTACCTGTTCCCTTATGCTTCCCTTCTTCTCTCTCCGTTTGTTGGTCTGTGGATAAATGTTAGAAGGTACATGCATTTATTTTTAAAATATTTTGATAACTGCATTTCAGTATAAGTGATTTTTTTGTAATCCTATGTATTTTATTTTATGCATTTAAAAATACTGTTCTGACAAAGGGTCCATAGGTTTCACCAAACAGTCAAATGGGTAAAAATGTTAAGAACTCTCATAACAAGTTGTACATAATATATCTGTAGTTTCATGTGCATTCCTCTTCCTTCCCCCCCCATTCCATCTTGTTATGGAAAAGATTATTTTATTTCTTAGGTTCAGAATAAAAATTACAAAAAAACCCAAAAACCAAACCCAAACCTTTGTCTTGGACTCTTCTATGCTCTCACATCCTTCTCCTGTCCTGTTTTCCTTTGTGTTCCAACAACATATCCTTCATCCCCTGGTATTTCTTTTGGTCCCTTCTCTTCTTTGCTTTCTTTTCTGTCACCTCTGACTCTTCTCTGTTCTATTAGAATTCCTTCAGTTCCCACTGACTCTTCCCCCACCCCCACCTGCCATTCCTATGGCCATCTCTTATCCTCCATTTTGCTCTTGTATTTTTTATCCCTTCACTTTCTCTCTGTTCCCATGGTCTGCTCTTTAGAGACTTATTTATGTTGGACAGACTGACTGACCTAAAGGGCAGGTGCATAATTTTGGTTTCTGATTTCCTGACCATTGTCTTCTGACTTCTGCTTTTCCAGAAAAATCCTTGGAATGAAGTTTCAGGAGTCAACACTTTGTTCTCAACATCACCCTTGGAAATCCCAGAATGATTCCAGTGACTTAAGTTACATTTATTCCCTGGGCCCACCCCCCCACAGAATAGCCAATCATGGGTCTGTGTCCCCTGTGATCTGTTCCCCAGATTCCTATTCTGAAATAAAAATGGAAGAGCCCTGTCTGCTCTCCTCTGGATTTGTGGAGAGTGGGGATTGGGTATTAATAACCAACATCACCTAGTTTCCTGTAGCTTGGATTGTAGCAATAACAACTCCTCTTCCTAGCTTCCTAACTGAAGCGTATTTGGGAGCACATACCAGGTTGCAACCTTCTGTTCATGAGAGCCTGGTCATGGGGACTGATAAGGTCCAAGGGAAGCTGGGTGTACTGACAAGAGCTAGTCTGTGAATGGGTGTGCTAGTAGCAATAGCTCACTGCTGTTTCCATGCAGGTTTTTCCTTAAAAGGCATTGAAATCATCCTTAAGACTTAATTGGCTAGAGGGACTAAATGCTCAGGCTATTAAAATCACTTCGTGATCATCTGAGTAAAAACAGCCACCCATATAGAGCTCCAGTCACATTCTTTGTTCATTGACCACTTTGAGCTGCTTAGTCAGGGAGCTTCATTCATCAGAATCAGCAAGGAGTGTCCTCAGTGCACATCCTTGTTGAATAGCTTTATCTATGGTCAGGTAAATCTTTTTGTTATCATGTCAGTTGAGGTCCCCAAGAGTAAGGATAAGGATTGTGGTGGAGAGTAAGACTGTGAGCTAGGTACTGAACTTGAGAAAGGAAGAAAGACCTGGGAATGAGTTGAGAATAGCCACCAGGATCTGTATAGGGTGATAAATCTGGTTGAAGTGAACTTCAAAAGAGATGTTTTTGAGTGATGGTATAAGAAGGAGAGTCTAGAAGGGTTAGTGAAGAGAAAGAATCATTCCTTCTCCTTCTTACCTTGGTGAAGTTATGTCTAGTACGGAAAAAGTGGCCACTAATGTTATATCTTCTATGGGAAGAGTGGGGTTGAGATCCGGGTTTCCAGGATTACAAAGAAATAGGAAAAGCCTTAGAAGAACAGGTCTAATATGAAGGGTGGTTGTTGTTAACCTTACAGAGTGCGTTCTAAGAAAGACAAACAAAATTAGGCTACAAGAGCATGTTTATTTCTCTCAAAGTGGGTGAATATGCATGTAGATATGCACAGGCATTCATTAAAAAATGAGCTTAAAGAAAGGCCAGTTGAAGGAGACTTTATATCTTTAGAGCAAGGAAGTGTTTCCTTCTCCCTCCCTTCCTGATTCAGGATGCTGTGTCAGCCAAAATTATAGTTTCCACATCTGTCAGCCATGTCATAAACAGGAACGTCATAACAGGATAGTGTCCATAAAACATCAAGAAAAGGGAAGTGTCAGTTAATCAAGATAGTGTCTAGTTCAAGGTGCCTGGTCCTTATCAGTCATAACAGAAGAATGATCCTGGTCGGCTTCATCCAGCCTTGTGGTTGCTGACGTAGAGGGGAGCATTTTGAGTTCACTCAGAGAGCATGCAAAACATTATGACAGGTTAACTCAGAATGGGCAAAAAATGTCTTTCTTCTGATTGTGATGGGGGTGGCGGGCTCAAGCTGGTTTAGCCAGTTTACTTTGTTAACAATATGAATCTCGTTTCAAAAGCCTCTCTTATAGAAGCTATAGTTAGTGTTAGTTACTGTAGCTTTAAGAGCCAAATGGAATGTTTAGGACTTGACACTTAGGGCTGGCAGATTTGAGAAATCAAGAAAAGAGAGTTAATGGAGATTGTTTGCGGAAAACTGCACAGAGGACAGAGAGAAAGAGGATGAGAAAACCTAGACTGTTAAGAGTAATGGCTTGTGCAGCAGTTAGGTGGCGCAGTGGATAGAGCACTGGCCCTGGATTCAGGAGGACCTGAGTTCAAATCCAGCCTCAGACACATAACAGTTACCAGCTGTGTGACCCTGGGCAAGTCACTTAACCCCATTGCCTAGCCCCTCCCCAAAAAACCCCAAAGAAACAAAAACCAAACAAACAAACACAAAAAAACACAAAGAATGATGGCCTGAAAGAAGCTGAAGAGGCTGTCTTTGTTATGGCTGGAAAGATGTTGGAGAAAACAGAGAAAAGAGAATAAAGAGGCATTTCCAGACGGAACCATTTAAACCTTTATCTTGTAAAGAGGATGAAGACAATTCTTGTTAAGAGATGTTGTTTGGTATCTTGAGTAAATTGAATGATGGAATCATGTTTCCAGAAGTATGGAGAAGTCATTTGCGGGTATAGTGATGATCAAAGGTAACTTTGACTATGATCTTTCTTGAAGCTAAAATATTTTAAATAGTTATTTGTATCTTTGTGCTATCATTAATTACAGTGTTAATAAATTATATAGCTAGTAACTTTAATATTTATTTAATCCTAGAAGATTAGAGCAGCTGCTTATAGGGGGAAGAGTTTTCTCCAGTTTATTAAATAAATAATGTTGAATAAAATGAGGTATGTACCTTAATTAATTAATGAGAGATATGCCACAACTTAGTGATTAATGAAGAACTACCCAAACATACCCCTAGATTGTCTGAGAATTTAGGATGATGAGAATGAATACAGTAAAAAGTCAAGCAGAAGGCTAACAGGTAACATATTAGTGAGGTTTCACCACCAACAATTCCTTGCTACAAATAGAACAGGGTACCATGTATCAGTTGATTAATGAGCAATTATTAAGCATATGCCAGACCTTGTGCTAAGCACTGAAGATACAGAGACAAAGGAGAAACAATTTAAGTCTTTAAAGAGTTTATAATTAAATGAGGGAGACAGAATGAACATTTATAAATGTATAAAAAACCCACACAAAACAGTTAGAAGAGAAGCATGCATTTGTTCAAGTCTCTCGTACTAACCTTGTGTTCAAGAGGAAGAGAAATGTAATAACCTGGAATTCAATCTAGTTGAATGATCCAGCCCAAAGAGGGATTATTATGGAATCAATTTGTGTTTGGCCCTGGGCCATTCAAAATTTTTAAGAATTATTTGGAAGACATAGGAAATAGGCATACCGGTGGAGCCAAGATGGTGGAGTGAAAGCAGTGACTTGCTTGAGCTCTCCCCCAAACCCCTCCAAATACTCATAAAAAATGGCTCTAAACAAATTCTGAAGCAGCAGAACCCACAAAAAGACAGAGTGAAACAAATTTCCGGCCCAAGACAACCTGGATGATTGATCAGAAAGGTGTATCACACCGGGCTGGGAGCACAGCACAGCACAGCGTGGGCGCGCAGGCCGCAGCAAACCTGGAGCAGCCCTCAGAGGACTGAATTGTGAGTAGCTGTGGAGGTTTCCAGACTCCTCAATCCACGAATGCCAAAGACAGCTTAGAAGGTCAGTGGGAAAAGTCTGTTTCTGTCGGTGGTCAGAGAGGAAGGCGGGGTTTCAGTTCCATTCCCCAAGAGCGTGGCCCTGGGGGGGGGCAGCTGCTTCCCAAGCTTCTGGCCCACAGACTGAGGGGGAATCCAGTGGCTGATCAGAGAGGGATTGCAGGGATCTCTTTGCCAGTGCTGAGGCAGGAATCTCTTGCTTTGCCCGTTTGGATCTGGGTCACAGTTCTGGGTGCGGTGCTGGGTGAGGAGGAGCGCTGGCGTGGTGGAGCTTGTAGTGGCTGTGGAGAGAACCCCTCCTCACAGTTACAGGACAGAAAGGAATACTTGTGCTCACAGGCCAGGAAAGGAGTAAACACCTCGCCCCTTATCATACCACCTTGGAAGAACTGAAAATTTACAGGTCCCTACAAGTATCTCTGAAAACAGCTACACAAACCCCTGAAGCTTGGGACAGTACACTCTCCACATTGGAAGCAGACTCTTACCTTAACAAAGAGTTTAAAACTCAAGTAATTGGCTGGGATCATGAGCAAGCAGTGCAAAAAGAGTCAGACTATATTATCTTACTTTGGTGAAAAAGAAGATCAAAATATACAACCAGAAGAAGACAACAAAGTCAAAGCTCCTACATCCAAAGCCTCCAAGAAAAATATGAATCAGTCCCAGGCCTTGGAAGAGCTCAAAAGGGATTTTGAGAAGCAAGTAAGGGAAGTAGAGGAAAAACTGGGAAGAGAAATGAGAGTGATGCAAGAAAATCATGAAAAACAAGTCAACAGCTTGCTAAAGGAGACCCAAAAAAATACTGAAGAAAATAACACCTTAAAAAACAGCCTAACCCAAATGGCAAAAGAGGTCCAAAAAGCCAATGAGGAGAAAATGCCCTAAAAAGAAAAATTGGCCAAATGGAAAAGGAAGTCCAAAAGATTACTGAAGAAAATACTTCCTTAAAAATTAGAATAGAGCAATTGGAAGATAGTGACTTTATGAGAAATCAAGACACTGTAAAACAAATCCAAAAGAATGAAAAATTAGAAAACAATGTGAAATATCTCATTGGAAAAACAACTGACCTGGAAAATAGATCCAGGAGAGAGAATTTAAAAATTATTGGACTATCTGAAAGCCATGATCAAAAAAAGAGCCTAGACATCATCTTTCAAGAAATTATCAAGGAAAACTGCCCTGATATATTAGAACCAGAGGGCAAAATAGAAATTGAAAGAATCCACAGATCTCCTCCTGAAAGAGATCCCCAAAGGAAAACTCCTAGGAATATTGTAGCCAAATTCCAGAGTTCCCAGGTCAAGGAGAAAATATTACAAGCTGCCAGAAGGAAACAATTCAAGTACTGTGGAAACACAATCAGGATAACACAAGATTTAGCAGCTTCTACATTAAAGGACCGCAGGGCATGGAATATAATATTCTGGAGGGCAAAGGAGATAGGATTACAACCAAGAATCACCTACCCAGCAAAACTGAGTATAATCCTTCAGGGGAAAAAATGGTCATTCAGTGAAATAGAGGACTTTCAAGCATTCCTGATGAAAAGACCAGAGCTAAACAGAAAATTTGACTTTCAAATACAGGACTCCAGTGGAACATAAAGAGGTAAACAGGAAAGAGAAATCATAAGAGACTTATTAAAATTGAACTGTTTACATTCCTGCATGGAAAGATGATATTTGTAACTCATGAGAACTTTGTCAGTATTAGGGTAGTTGAAGGAAAAAAATTGTATGTATGTATATATAGATAGATAGAGGGCACAGGGTGAGTTGA